TTTGAATTGACTCAAAGGTATCTTCACTAATGTTAGTGCCATGTTTCTAAATAAAAATAAATAAGGAAAAAAATCTATCACCAAAATTTTTTTTTCAACAACAGAAAACAATGAATTCTTCCAAAATTTCTTCGAGTAACTTTTTGTTGATATGAAAATCAAAAAGAAGTAAGACCGAAAGAAGTAAGACTGTTAATGCCGAGTTGGCTATGTGAAAGTACTTTGCACTGCTATTGTCAAAAAAAGAGCCAGGTTTAACAGCAAGGATATGAATAACATAAAATGGTCAGTTGGATTGTGAGTTGTAGGACATCAAAAATTTATAATAAAGCGTAAACAGCTAAATCTTTCAAATTTTCAAAAATCAAACTTAGCACCTATCTCTTTGAAGTTGATGCAAAAAAATTTAACCTTTCAAAAAACGTCAATGCGTCTTTTATAGGACCCAAATATACCGTTCTTCCGTCTAATAACAAAAGCAATCTAATTTATAAAAAATTATACTATTTCAAATGAAAGAAAAATAAACTAAAATTAAACTTCCAAAAATGAACAATTTAATTATTTATAAATTGAAGAATAGTTAAGCTGATTTAACTGAATCTATTTTTCATTTTTACTGAAAATTAAAAAGAAAATTTTATGCGTCAGAAAAAACCCAATATAACAATTATTTTAATTTTTACCAATATTCTTCAACATCTAGACTGACATCTTGTTTGTATCTAATATCCCATGCTGGTCATAACAAGTTGCCCAATATAAAGAACAAGTTATGGAAGCTTTAAGAGAAAATTCTCGTTTCATTGAAAAATTTGATAATTTTAAATTTTTAAGTTCCTAAAAATCTTTCTTGACAATATCGCAGAAGTTTAACTTTGAAAATATTTTCCTAAAAACATTTTTAATCAATGAGTCTAAGTCTAAAAATACTTCCTCTAATCGGTCAATTGCTTATAAGCCAACATGTTCCTCAGGTATTTTGCATCACGTATTACCTGGAAAGAAAAAAAAAAACTTGGTTTAATTCCTAATGACAAATGACTATGTTTGAACTATCATTTAAATATAATTATTTGATAACATGGAAAAATACTTATTTGATAGCTTAAAAAAATACAGATGTTAAGCTAAATGACAAATGTTAATAAATACAACTCACTTTCTAACGGAAGATTATTCAATAGGTAAGTACAACTTTTGGAGAAACTGTTTTTCATTGAACTAACAATTTTCTTGCTAAAAAGACAATCAGAAGATTCCAGCTCCAAAGGAGGAATTGGTTCAGGGAGAGGTTTTTTAGTTGTGGTGAAGCTAACATACCTATGCCAAGTAAAACTCTGATCTAAAACCCAACTAACAAAATTGCAGTATGGGTAAGAAGGAGCTTATAAATCTTAAGTGGTTATCATCCCAGTATAAGTATTACATCAAAATAATCTGATCTGCTAAACATGTTAACGCTAGAAAGGACATTCGTATATATTTTTTGATTTTTTTAAATAATTTAATTCAACTAGAAGACTGCTACTATGGAAACCAATCCAATCCACACATAGTGGAATAAAGTTTAATATCAATGTGGAAGCATAGATGTTAAATTTTACAAATATAAAAAAACAATTCTCCTTTCATAATTCATACTTCATGGCCGACGACACGGGTTTCGAAATGGAGGGGCACAATCGTTAATTTCTAAAAAAAACTTTCTAAAAAAACTTTTTCTTGGTCTTATAATTTTTTTTTTAGTTTGCCATAACTTAGGGTAGGTAGGGGAGCATTAGGCTTTTTTTTTACATAAATGCTAATAAATCTGTTATTTTTTATCATAATCAAAATTTTATTTCAAATATATCTAGCATACATATTTGGCATTAATTATTGCTAAGAAGAGTTTTAGTATTATAATTAGTTGCTAAGTTGCAAAAGATTTTCAATCACATGTTTAAAGTGCCGACCACTATGGGGAGGTTTAAAAAAATTAAAGTCACCACTATGGGGAGGTTTGGGCACTGTATTTAAAATGCACGATATTGTTTTACTAAACTACTATGCTTAAGTGTTATATAGGATTGCTATAAAAAATTGTAACACAGACATTTTTTTATATCATAGCCTTTACAAAAGAATAAACAATGTTACTTGGAATCAATACTTCACGATGTTGGATCTTATATACGATAAGACTTATCTTTAATTTGGTATGACCCAGAGAGGCTTGTTAAATTTATATTTTAAGCTGCCACGTTTCACCCGTGTTGTTGGTGTAGGCAATTTTGTCTTTATATCCTCCAGGGGGACACTGGCTACGTCCTTGATGTCAGGAAATATAAACGTATTTCTTATCTTACTCGCTCTCATGAATTTGACAGTTGCCATGGAGGGATAAACCTCTTCGCAAATTCCAACATAATGATAAACAGTTTTTTTGGTGTCAAATTTAACCAACACAAAGTTATTGACTTGGAAATTTCTATCCGGAAAAATTACATCGTCTACATCAAAATCTTCTTCCGATGAATCAATTTCAAGAAGAGCTTCGTCAGAAATAGAAACATTTTCTATTTCATTATCACTACTAATCTTCCTGTTTTTCTTGTTTTTAGAGCATTTTCGATTTTTGTTGAGCTCTTTGATCCTTTTTTTTCTTTGTCTAATTTCTTAATTGACATTCAGTTACAGTGACTTCAGTTGCATTGACAATGACACTAGTCTGGCTTTTAGATAGAGATTCAAGTTGAGATTGGCCCAGTGACTACCACATTTGAACTTGTACGATTTTCTTCTGTTGAAGGCTGTTCCATGATAGTTTGGACTGAAATTGATTTTTCTGTAGCAACATTATTCTCTTCCAGCAAGTAGCAATCAGTTATAGAAGAACAAACCAAATCTTCTTAACCAAATCAGAGAAATCAGTTATAGAAGAACAAACCAATCTTAACCAAATCAGAGAAAATGTTTGAATTGAATGGCCAAATGCCAGGTTTTTCAAATCCCGTTTGAATATTTTGCAACTTAAATGCAAGTTGGATGGCCTTTGCTGCTAATTTTGGGATTTCATAAATTGTTACCGTTTTGCCAGGATTGCTCACCATTCAATCTGTTACAGTAGTGTTATAATAAGTTTTGAGTGGTCCATAGGCAGTCAGGTCTAGGGGTTGCAGTTTATGGCTGCAGTGCGGTGGAAAAGTCATTAAAATAATGCCTGATTTTTTACAAAAATTGAAAACTGGTACTGAGGTATGGCTCTCGTGGTTGTCCAGCAGCAATAGAACTGGTGATGAAGGCATTGGTTTTGCAAATTTTGCAAAATGGTGTGTATATTTTAAAAAACTTGGTGCTATCATCAACCGTGAAGAATGTGCTGCTCCATCTGAACCAAAAGGTGCATCATTTAACATATATATTTTGAAATTAACCCGTGGGAATATGAAAAAGGGTGGTATTGAGTTACCAAATGCATTAATGCCGCAGCAAACAGTTACAAGTGTCCCTCTTTCAGCTGACGTTTCCCAACTTGCTTAATGCCTTTAAGAGCAATTACTTTTTGGGTTCATCGTACTGTTGATAATCCGGTTTCGTTTATATTGTAAATAGACTCAGGGCCGAAACAATGTTGTTCATACAGTTTTAAGATTTTCAAAAAAATCTCCGACATTTTTCTTATTGAAACTTGTGGTACGTGAGAAACTAGTAGCTTCTGGGTTCCTTATCGAAATCTGAGGTTGTCTAAAAATCCCTTTAGCCAATCTTTGGATGCAATTTTCTTCTTTGTCTAGTTGTCTGGTGTTTTTTTAATTATGGCAGTGGCGTATTCGTTAATTAATTCGCGTGCTTTCAGTTTTGACATTCCATGGTTTAATTTAAACAATGTTACAAAATATTCTGAAATTTTTTCTTCTTCATCTTTTGTGAATATTTACGTGGATATATATTTAGAAGAAATATTTTTCACAACGCCACCCTGTTTTATGTATCTTTGAAGGTTAGACATGAGTATATCATACTTAATCGCAGTAGCTTTAATTTTTCCTCCTTTAGAAACCTCTTCCAATGCGAGCAAAATAACATCTTTAGGGATTTCACGTCGTTTACTTTCTTTTTAAATGAAAAAAGCATTGTCCTGAAAAGAAATGATTAACCATTCAATCCAGTAGTCATAGCAAAAAAGCACAAACGTATGACAAAAAAACACACTAAAAAATGAGGGAGCATTAGGCATGCCCAAACCTTCCTCCTGGCAGATATCTTTTTTATCTTTTTTTAAATCACAAACAAAATATTTACTTTTGTACGCAACAAACTGTTAAGCGCATTTAACTTAATAACTTAGTGAAATGACAGCTGACACTTTTGATGAGCGGTGTTGCCAGTTATAAAATTATCATGCTATGGTAGAAAACAAAAATCATCTATGATAGATTGTGAGAAATGAGGGGGTGCCCAAACCTTCCGACTGCCCAATGCTCCCCTACCTCCCCTACTTTTAAACCTGTAGCAGTAATAGATTAGATACATAAATAAAAAATCTAAAGCACTAATTCATCTAATACAACAATGCTATGTTAAATTGTTAAAATTAGCAATGTTAAAAGTAGAAATGACTTAGATTTATGATATTTAGGCCAATGTAAACTTGAAACATTAAAAAAATTTTAGCATGTTTAGTTTAGCTTGTTTAGATTAACTGTAAGAATAAAACGGTAGCTATGATCTTTGCTATATGATTAAAAAATAACTTAAAGCGGCATAACTTCTTAAAAATTATATTGTAAAAAAATTATATTGTATAAAAGTAACTTTGTTCACGTCATCTTTTCTTGACCTCGTTCCCTCCCCTTTGTCAACAGTTCTCGAAAATTTTTTGGACATAATTAATGGACAGTCACTAACGCTTATATAATTGTTATAACTACTTGAAAATGTCTATATTATAAACTATTATATTATAAACTAAACTATATTATAAACATATTTAAAAATTAAAATACATCAAAATATGATTTAGCCAAGTTTGCGCTAAAATATAGTTGGTATTTTTTCTCGCTTTCTTTTTAATCTTCCTAGAAACCAGTTTGGTTGACTGAACGACTCTTGTTGTTTACATCCGTAAGCGCCAAAAGCAAGTGTGCTTCGAAAAGGTTTGTATATTTTGTACTAATTTAATTTTCTATTATATATTTTGTAAATATAATGAGTATTCAGAATTTTTTTATAATACTCATTATATTTACAAAATATATAATAGAGTATAACTTTTTAAAATAGTTTTTTAAAATTTGTTTTCATTCAGTTATTATTAACCATTACTTTTTATGATAAGATGATTGCAGAAAACCGAGGCAAGTCTATTTTAATACGTTTCTGTTATAATTATGCTCATAAATAATCAAAGACTTTGAAATAAAAACTTCAAATGTCTAAAATAGATTATTTATTTTTAAGAGCGTTTAAACTGAATATATTTATTCCGTTAATATGTATTGATACTTTTAAATACTAAATATTAATTCTAATATAATTTTGTATACTTATTATATAAATATATATATATATATATATATATATATATATATATATATATATATATATATATATATATATATATATATATAACACTTACAACCGATACTATCGACGATAGTGATAAACAAAATTGTTGAAAATTATATCATTTGCATGGGCTTTTAAGAAAATAAGAAAATAAAGTTGACAGAACATGCCAATCAAAATCATTCAGGTCATAATAGTGCCAAGATAAACGTTTAACATTGAACTTTTCTACTGCAAATCAATTTTTGTTTATTTGTAGGTATGCAACGCAACGTTTTTAAATTAAATTAATATTAGATTGTTTTATATCTTTGAAAAGAGTATTAATACAGTATTTTAAAGGTAAATACCAAAATCGAACAATTCAAAAAAAAGTAAAAAGGTTTTAAGTGATAAATTTTGAATATATAGAATTGTAAAAGAAACTTTGGTCAAAAAAAAGTTTTTCTTAAAACTGTTATAACTTTGTAAATTCTTTTCAAATTAATGGTAACTTTGTATCAAAAGTAGCATCTAGCTAGAGTGACGATTGTTCTCCTACGTAAAAACTGGGATAATGGTTACCCTACATCTAGCTATAAGGCAAAATCGGGGCTAGAGGCACCAAACTTCAACTTTTTTCCACAATACATAGAAATTTTTTTCATATTGAGTCATGTTATTAATGTAAATTTACATTTTTATGAAACTGAAATTTTTATATTTTTCTCCCAGACTGGCGGTGCAGTTAGAAGTGGATGTGGTGGTGGTCTTTTAACACATACTATTATCAAAAGCGATTCATTAAAAAAAAAAAAAAAATTATCAAATAAAATAAATAAATCTAGCATAAATATTAAAATTTAAACTTTACTACTTTACAACATATACTAGCGGTGTATAATTTGCAATGATATATTATATAACTAGATGTCTAACTTCATTCTGAAAAATGAAGCCACTTTTTGCCCTTTTTACAAATGGCGGATTAAATTTGTAAACAAATATTTTTAACTTTTCTTCTCTTAAATGAAGTAAATATTTTGAATTTAAATACTATTTACGTAAAAGTGTTAAGCGGAAATTATAATACATGTAAAATAATAATTTATGATTATAAAGTTTTGAATAGAAAAGTAAAACGTCTTACTATTTTGAAGCATTTTTATGAATTAAAATACTTTTTAATAAACATAGGCTCATAAAAAAACTTTTAAAAGTATTTTATAATTGTTAAAACGTATTTTTGTATTTAATTGTAATTATCGTTAATTTATTGGGAACGTTTTTAACTTTTATTCTACACTTCGGCTTCAGCTTTTGCCCTTTTTACAAATGGTGGATTATTGTTATAAACAAAAAAAAGCGGCTTTACTTTTTGTCTAATAAAATCCCGCCAGTTAGACATCTAGTTATATAATATATCATTGATTTGGTTTAAGTGAAAGTGCATGTGACTCCCCCCACCCCCTATCCCACCTAAAAAAAATTTTTTATGAGATTTAAAATTTTAATTTTAAAATTAAAATTTTTTTTTTTTTTTAATTAAACAATTTTTATGAGATTTAAAAGAAAATTTTAAAAGTTAAATATTCAAATGAGAGAGTTCGTGTATTAGGAGCATCAGTTTATCCATTTTCTCAGGTGAGAGAGCATGTGGGGCGCAATCTAAAAAATTAAATTTAAAATTAAAAAAATTCAAATTAAATTTAAATTCAAGTTCAAATTTAAAAAAAATTTAAAAGATATTACAAATATTTTAACACTCTACAAGATGCATCAGCGTATTTAAATTCTCAGAGAAAGGGCTGTGTGACTATCTCACCTCCGAACTAAAAAAATGTAAAATGTTTTTAAAAGATATTACTTAAACTTATAGATATTAGTGTAAAAAAAAATACACATTGTAATTAGTTAGTGTCTTAAGTTTTAGTAAATTATTAAAATTTTAACATCCACTAATGAAAGTAAATAATAATCATTTTAAACAATAGACACCATGTGAAGGTAAGCCAGAGCGGTCTATCAAAAATTGTGTCAAAATACTTGCTGGTTACCTTTTTGCAAGTCACAACACTTGCAGTACAAATTTTGCAAGTCACAACACTTGCTGGTTTATTTGAAAAGATATAATATATAACCATACCAGAATTACAAGGTGGTGCTAAAAATATAAATAAAAAGATCAACAATAAAAATTATTTTTTATCAGTATTGCCAGATGTAGATGGTACTAAAAATTAAAAAAAGAAACAAAACAATTAAGAAAAAAGACGAGTTCAAGCTTAATTTGTAATATTAAAAAAAACCTTACCAATAGTAAAAGTTAGCAATGGCCCCAAGAAATAAAAATTAAATAATATAAAGATAACATAGTAATGGAAATTTTACAAAAGTCAGCTTTAAAAAACATTTTTTAAATTTAAAATATAATCCTTACCAAGGTTGTCAGTTGAAGATGGTATTACTATTAAAATAATATAAAAGATTGTTAAGAAAAAAGGAAAATTTTTAAATGTTATGTTTTTTATTTAGAAAAGTTGTAATACCTTGCCAGTAAAGTAATATTTTGTAAAAGTTTAAGTTGTAATACCTTGCCAGTTCTAAAACCTTGCCAGTAATTGCAGATTGTAAAGGATCTTCAAATTAAATAAGAAATAAAATGAAAAGAAATAAAAATGGAATTTTGAGTGTTTTGTAGTTATTTAGAAAAATTATAACAGAAACAACAATTTTCAGTTGAAGATGGATCTACAAAGGTAATACAAAAAAACAATTAATATTAAAAAAGCAATTACAAACTATAATTGCTTCTTTTAAAAAGATATAATATATAAATATATCAGTAGTAACAGTAAGCAACTATCAAAATTATGTCTTCAAAAATCATTAACATTTATTTTACTAATATGATCCATATTAATTTCTAAAAAGAAAAAGTCCTAATAAAAAAACAAAAGATAAGGTTGATATTTAAGCAACATCTAACTAAAAGTTACGTCACTGACAATGCATTTATCTAATTATAGTCGAATTGATAGTTATGATAACTGAAATATAAATTGCGCCGAACCTGTAAAAATACAAATTTTTTTACTGTGTTCTCCTTCATAAAAGCCGGACGTCTGGCAACCTAACTTGTAATGGTTCTATAGATAGAAAAAGAAATAAAACAAATTTAAACAATAACATACTTTGAAGCAATACGTAACACTAACATCTAAAGCAAAATGCAAAAAGAATATAATTGAAGTTCGCACTAATATATGAAAAAAATTAAAATTCAACTTTTCCTAATAATACCAAAAATGAATAGTAATGTAGGTAAACAAGTAATATAACTCAGAAGCATTTTTTTTAAGTTAGGTATAATAATTTACACTAAAAAAGCAAATAACAACACTTTAATAGAAGTAAAAAAAACGCGCAATAAATTCAGCTAAAAATAACTCAATACTAGAAACAAACACCTAAATACTAAAGTCAATAACTAAAAACATGAATGCTGACTCAGTCTTTGATTTGTTTCATCATCTAAATAAATTAAACAAATGCTAAATATTTATATATAATTTGTTTAAAGAATGTTTATAAAACAGTAAAATAGTTGTTTCAGTGTCCTTTTTTTTTTTTTTTTTTTTTCTTAAATAAAGTAGATAATTGTTTGCTTTTTTGTTGTCAACCAAAACCATATACAAATTAAATTTTATAATAAAAATTTATTGAGTTGTGTAATATATTGTAAATTACAAAACTAAAAATATATTTATATATTTATTTTAATATAATAATATTATTTATTAAATATTTGAAATAAAATAATATTAGAAACATTAATTTTCTCATTTCATTTAATTCCTTTCTTCACTGATATTTTATAAATTATTATTTTTAAATGTTTTTAATTGTTATAATTATTTAAAATATAACTTTTTAAAAGTTAGTATTATGATAATATAAAAGTCTTTTATATTTTCATATTAATAACAAAAATATATTATTATTTCAAAAAGTTTTAGTTTCAAACCTCCCCTAGCCCCCACGTCAAAAGAAAAAACAAATATAGGTACCTATTCTGCCAAGAGTAGAAAGGTATCTACGATACATTTTTTAAAATGAAATTTGGCAGGTGAATAGAAGATAGGTATAATAATAATGGAGAATGGATTTAAAAAAAAACAACAACAACATTCATTTGCTAATAATTTGATGTGGGAACAGTAAGGTATTTTTTAAAATCAATAAAACCATTATAAAATTTAATAAATATACAAAAAAGTAACATAGAAAAAATAGCTGAACTCTTCAATTTTTTAAAAAACATCGAGGATCATTTCTAAAAAAAATGCTTCAAAAAATGTTTATGCAACACAATCTCAAAACAGACTTCAAAAAGCGTGGCACAGAATTTCAGGAAAAAATTTGGTTCTGTAAAATGTGATTTCGGAAAATCTATTATTTGTCTTTTAATAAAAAAATATAACTATAAAATTATACTTTGAAACCTACAATTGCTTTCTATCAGGATTCCTAAAGAACTCCTAATGTTGCTGGAATGATGTTGAATGTTGCATTTTTTGTATATTGATAAACAAACATGTATATATGTAAAATAACTCTGATGCCTCAGTTTTTTTTCATGATTTTAAGAAATTTCAAATTTTCTGATGTAAAAATAAAAAATAAATGTTGAACAAGTTATTAAAAACAACTATAACTGTGCTGTATTATTCTGTTTTATGTTAAAAGAAAAATAATTAGTTTTTAATAAAAAGTTGTTTAAAGTAGTGCATATTTCCCTGTATACTTCCGCGTTAACTTCCTGTTTGTTTGTTTTTTTTTGGAACGGCGGCGGTTTATTTAAATGCTTATATTGTGAAAGTGATACAAGTAAAAATGAAGAAACTGTATTTGATTTTGAAATTGAAGATATTTTGGGCTTATTTATTTAAAATGAATGTTTATAAATAATTTATAACTGTATATATTCCCTTTGTATGATGAAAATAATACTATATGATTTCTTCATATTTTATTTTCGTTTTTATACTTGAGCTAGATTTAATAAATTTAAATATATTTTACAGCAATAAACCTGATATATAAAATAATACTGCATTTAATATCCTTCTATTGGTTCTATTCATTAACAAATATAAAAAAGATTTTTTTTTTTTTTAAATTCGTAAAACGCTTTTTTTTATACATGTCTATATTATATAAGAAAATATTTAAGAAGTATATATTCCAGAATCTTAAAAAATTTATTTGTACTAAGAAATTAACTTAGAAATTAAAAATTAGATTACCTCAAATTTTAACTTATGTATCACATGTTCAATGCATGTTTTCTCCTAATTTCCGAAAAGAATATAAAATCAATTATAAGTTAATAAAAGAGAATGATAAAAAATTGAACAGAAACAGTAGTAATAATTTTAGTCTAAACAGTTGAAAAGACAATTTTAGTCTAAACAGTTGAAAAATAATTGTAAAAGAATAAAACTCTTTGGTTCAAGGTTTATTTAAAAAAAGATTTCAATATAATTGTCACTATATCTTTATAGCTTAGAGATATCACGGTTAAATTTTTAAAATTTAATTTAATTTACAAAACACAAGAAAAATGAATCAACTAAAGAAGTGCAATAAAAAATGTTATATTTTATTCCATTATTTTTATAAGACAATATCTTAATACTTAAATAGATCTTGCAAAATTGCTACGCTCATTGTGAAATTTTTTAAGCAAACAAGATGCTTGAATAAAGAAACGTGATGGTTGCGAATGTTATTTTTCTGCCATTTTTTGCATTGCTTGAAAATTATTGTTTTAATTATTTCTGGAATAAACTCAACAAGAGAAATAAAAGAGAAATAAAATGGAGAATAAAAGAACAAAGTCTGAATAAAAATTGAGAAACGAAACTAGAATTAAGTTTACTACAACATAGCATTTTGATTTACTTTATTATATTATCATATATAAGCAGGGGTCGAAATAAGTGCCGGACATCGCCGCCCCTCAGACCATTTTTGAGACCTGCTATATGAGGGCAACCGACCATTGTTCATTTTTACTGAAAAAATGAACAATCGTTTGTTGTCCTCGTCTAGCAGGTTTAAAAAATGGTCTGAGGGGCGGCGATGTCCGGCACTTATTTCGACCCCTGTATATAAGCATTTATAGACAAACAGATATACAAAAGTAAGATAGATATCCTATCCTATTTGGGCTATTGTGGTATATAACTACTCAATTGTGTGTATACGCATATACACACGATTGCTGAAGCACCAAAAAAACGAAAAATAACCAAAAAACAAAAGACCAAAAATATATATATACACAAGGACCAAAGCAGCAAAAAAACATAAATTAATAAATAAAGTACCATTAAAAACGTCATTTGTAAAATAAAAATAAAAAAGATTTTTTTGCAAAAATCATGAGAAGGCACAAGGGGCACAATTCCCCCTCAGTAATTCTGTCATCATGGCCCTTGATAAACATTTTCCAATATTATTTTATTTTCTAACTTAGTCATTTTATTAAAGATTTGATTTTTTTCTTATTAAAATTAGCAATAAAATCAAATTCAAATGGTATTTCGGAACAAACAAAAAACTCAAACTGGAAAATGCAAAGTTTCCAATTTTTCAATAATTAAGTTTCAAAGTAATTAAGTTTAGATTAAATAACATACAGCGTTTTAACAAAAATGGGAATTTATTAAAATATTTCCCAATCACCCCATTGAGATTGAAATGTGTTCCAGGAAATGTGTGGGGTGCTTTTCTTATATTCTCTCTTTTTCTACTCCACCTCAGCACTGCATATATTGATTGGACAGCGCCAAAAATAAAATAAAATACTGTCTGTAACATTAAAGATGAATATGAAATCAACATAAAATTAAACGTGGTTTCACAACGACATGGCGAATTAAGCTTTAAGTCATTTTCATGACTTATTTTTAAGTTAAAAGTATTTTCAAAAACAATACTAAAAAAAATCTGCTCTATAAACAATGAAAGCAATCTTACCATAAAGTCTGCATCAAAGTTTACTTTAAATTTAAAGATGTAATTAGGAGTTAAAGAGATGTTATCCTCAAAAATATTAAAGTAAATTGTTCAGAACAAAAGTATGAGTTTGAAACTAATTGATTATTAATTTAAAGATGTAGTTAGGAGTTAAAGAGATATTATCCTCAAAAATAATATATATATATATATATATATATATATATATATATATATATATATATATATATATATATATATATATATATATATATATATATGGGCCTTAGAATTAGAGTCGGCAATGCCTACCTAACTGCTGGCCTCAAAGTGTTTGAAGTCGGCAAAAAATTTCGGACTTCGTTTCAATATTTTATGGTAAGACCTTTTTTTTGCCGACTTGATGTCGACCTATAAAAGATTGAGGTCTGCAAATTATTGCAGACCATATTTTACCTAATTAGGTTGTATATATATACAACCCTCAGATTTAGGACAAATGAGGTCGGCAATTAGCAGACCTCAATCTTTTAGAGGTCGGCAAAAATTATTTGATACAAAGGTCTTACCATAAAAAATAGAAACAAGGTCGGCAATTTTTTGCTGACCTCAAACAATTTCAAGTCGCAGTTAGGTCAACATTGCCGAATGCCGACCCTAATTCTGAGGGTTGTATATATATGTAAGTTATATTAGCATATTATTGAGTTTTATTGTTTATTAAAAAAACCGCAATAACAATGACTAGAAAATTTTTTTTAATTAGTGGTGTTTTTGTTTTTGTTTTAATAAAAAATATTTTTTAAAAACATGCGTAAGTGTTGCTACTATCTTATAGCCTGACTCGCAACGACGTGCTGCTACATCGACTGACAAATAGCCTGATTTGCAAGGGAGTGCTGCTACATCGACTGACAAATAGCCTGACTCACAAGGAAGTGGTGCTACATCGACTGACAAATAGCCTGACTTGGGCAGGCAGTATATCATTTAAAAAAAAAAAAAAATTTTATGAAGTTTTTTATTATTTTCTGGTCAGGCTTATTAAAGCGCTCTTTAAAACAACAGTTTATGGGAAAAGCTTTGTGACTACCATGCAAGACTATATATATATATATATATATATATATATATATATATATATATATATATATATATATATATATATATATATATATATATATATATATATATATATATATATATATATATATATACATATATAATACATATATATATATACATATATATATATGTATATATATATGTATATATATATATATATATATATATATATATATATATATATATATATATATATATATATATATATATATATATATATGTATATTATCCCATCTACAAATAGAGTGCTCAGTGTTCTTAAAGAACAGAGCAATAATAAATTAATAAAAGCATTAAAAACAAAATAATTACTGTTTTGTGTAGCTGTTGTGCTTTTATCTTAAAATTTTAAATAAATATAACACAATTTCAAAATATAATTTTGTTTTAGGTTTAAATAATATAGTTATGCCAAGAAAAAGGCGTTTACGATTAAGCTTCATTGGTGGCAGGCGACCATCAATATGTCCTCCAATAAAGAAAATTGCTAAAGATGGTATTTTTTAAATTATATTAAATAAGTTAGTGTGTGTATATACAGGGCTGTCCCAAACAGGGGGTGCCGGGTGTCCCACCCTTTTCCCAAAGCTGTTATATATGCATTTGAGAACATTTAGCATTTGAGTTGGCAAACCCCCCATCCCTCATGAGAGACCTCTTTGGGACCCTGTGTGTGTGTTTATATATATATATATATATATATATATATATATATATATATATATATATATATATATATATATATATATATATATATATATATATATATATATATATTATCAATAATATTAAAAAATGATGTACATTAAATAAATTGCTTTACTATGTTGTTTTTTAACATTAAAGACATTGCAGTTTAAAAATAACTCAAACTATTCAAATAATTTTAAAGTATGTTTAAAAATAATTAAAATTTTTATTAGGTTATTAATAATTGTTACTTTTATTATTAGTAGTCAAAAAAAATATGAAAAGAAATAAAACTTGCAGAAAAATTTTTCATTTGGTATTTTTGTTTTAATGTAAAATAAAATAGGGAGCTAAAGAAAAAAAAAAGTGAGCAAAAAGTGCGTTTATCTAAAAATTAAATTTGTGCAATTAATAAATTGTTATTAGGAAGTTTTTACTTTTGTTCATTTGTTATAAAAAAACACTTAACTCTTAACTGCCAACAAGCAAAAGTTAACTTTACTTTTAATGAATATTTTAAAATTGCTCCATCTTTCAAAAAAACAAATTTTTCATTTCAAGTTTAAATTTCTTTTTACAATATCTAATGTTTGCTTAGTAACCAAAAGATAGTTTTGAACGTTACATGAGTTAGATCACATAATTACTTTTTAATCTTTAAATTTCTTTCTTTAATTTTTTTATGAACCAGCTAAAATAAACAGAAAATGAGTAAGTTACTACTGCGTCTGAAACCAAAAGTCTTCTTTAGCATCAAATCACAGTTATTCCGAACTTTTTTAAACTTTTTAATGTCATACTTGTCTTTGTATTATTAACTGATAAAATAAATCTGATAAAATTGGTTAAACAAATATATTGCTGTTAAAATATTGATAGGGCTAAAATTAGATTTAGTTAGATGTATATACAGATTGCCTTTTTTATTATTATTTTTTTTAGAGCTTGGCAATGAAGTTGCAGGCCAGTCTGAAGCTGCTGATAATAAACCCAAAGGTTAAAAATATATATGTTCATGATTTAATTAGTTTTTATACATTTATTATTTTTATACAATAATTTTTTATTAGCATTTAATTAAAAATTCTTGACACATGGGTAGCCAATTCGCTGTCTTCAATTAGACTGACTGTATTTTAAACATATATTTCATAACTTTATATTTTTCATAACTTCTTATTTATTAATGAACACCATGTTGCTATTTTTGTATTTAATCTTGAACTAAATGTTGTGATCAAAAGATATTAAGTTTAATGATATTAGTTTTGAGTTTTGAAAAAAAAATCAAAATGTATCTTTCTTTTAAAATGATTTACTAACAACCCAACAGCATAGCTTTGTAAAAGGCGAATCTTGAATAAAAAGTTAAAAACTCTAGATTTGTTTTCCTTCTTGCAATTTTTACATGTATTTTATATATATATATATATATATATATATATATATATATATATATATATATATATATATATAATATATATATATATATATATTATATATACACAGGGTGTAAACGTGTTTGGCGCCCTGCCAAACGTGTTTTTCCCAAATGCTCATAAAATTAAAATTCCCAATTTAAAGATGAAAAATCCCATTCTCCAAATAAAGTTTCCAAATTAAAGTTTAATAATAATTCTAAAAATAATTTAAAATTAATTATTATTCAAAACTAATAGAAAAATAACATAAAAAAATTCTAATTTATTAATTGCGTAAAACATGAAATCAAATCTCCATTATTGGTATAGAAACGCAATTGCATAACTGTAAAAATTGGTTTCTTGGAAAAAACATCATGACAATAAGGATTTTTGGAACGATTTTTGGGATTTTTGTGGCAACTTGCAATAAAGTTTGAAAATAGTTTTTTGCAATGCATTCCAACAACTGCAAATATTATATAAAAAAGTTAGCAAGAAATAAAGTACTAATCTAAAAGATCCAAAATAATAACAAACTTGTTTGGTTTAACACCCGCAAATGTTATTTTTTTAAAAGTTTCACCTTTAAATGTCTTGCCATAAACTCAACTTTAAGTAGTACATGTATTTCGTCAACAAAAACATCAAGAAGGTTATGTCAGATTTTTGATCAATTACGGTTATTATGGAAAGTCTTTTAGTTATTGTTTTTTTTTTTTTTTGTTTGGTATTTTATATCAACTGAATTTGCTAAAGTTTTTTACTTTTTTACTAGTATTCTTCGATACCACACATGCTTTCGCTTGCTAATAATATTACTCTATAATTAAACGACATTTGTTGTTGTTTTTGCTGAGACTTTGTGATTATAACTTTATTTTGCTATGCGATTTATGTATAAAATAAATTACTATTAATTATAAAATTGAATTCGCAAAAATGTGAAATATGAAATTAAAGATCTCTTGTTTACTATTTTAAAAATCTTATCTATTTTCAAAAAATTTCTTTTGATGACACAATTTATTACATGATGATGTAAGGGTTTGTCCGTAAAGTACGTCGAGCAGAATTTAAATAATAATTAAAAGTAGTAGATCATTGGCTCATTGGAGATTGCTATTTTACTATATTACATTGAAAAAGAAATATATATTCAAAATAATACTCTTGAAATGAAAGCGACAATATATAAAGATTAAAAATAAATCAAATTAATTATTCTCAATAATAATTAATATACACTGATTATTTTATAATAAAAAAAGATATCATTCCTAATATATGTTCGGAAATCGGTTCTTAGTTTGCCGTGTCGTCGTGAAACAACAGCTAATTTGTGTTGATTTTCTATTCATCTTTAATGATACAGATGGTATTTTATTTTATTTTGGCGCGGATCAATCAATGTATATAGCACTGAAGTAGACTAGAAAAAAAAGAACACCAAAAAAAGGCCCCATGCTTTCCCAGAACACATTTTAATCTCAGGAGGGGGGGGATTAAGAAATACTTTGACAAATTCTCAATTTTGTTAAAACGCTGTATCAAATTTATTCCTGGTTAACACCCTGATATATATATATATATATATATATATATATATATATATATATATATATATATATATATATATGTATATATATATGTATATAAGTATATATATATATGTATATATATATATATATATATATATATATATATATATTATATATATACATATATATATATATATATATATACATATACATATATAAATATATATATATATATATATATATATATACATATATATATATATATATATACATATATATATATACTTATATACATATATATATATACATATATATATATATATATATATACATATATATATATATATATATATATATATATATATATATATATATATATATATATATATATGTATATATATATATGTATATATATATATATATATATATACATATATATATATACATATATATATATATATATATATATATATATATATATATATATATATATATATATATATATATATATATATATATATACATACATACATAGTTATATAATATCCAATATTATATAATTATATATATAATATAGAATATATTATATATATAATTATATAATACACCCCTATAAATATATATATATATATATTTTATTTTTTTATAGGGATGCCTCATGACCCTTGAACATTATTTGTGTGCTCATAATGGGATTCTGCAAATATCTTACTTAAATGTATGGGAATTGGTTAAATATAAAAGTACAAAAAATTCCTAATTTTTCTTTTAATTGTGTCTACTGTTTTCAACTAAAATTCTTTATAAAGGGTATAAAATGTATATCAATAGTTGTATTTACTATTTAAGTTAGGGGTTTTCAAAAGTATGACTGGCAACAGGGAGAAAAATTTTCATTGTTTAAGAAAGTTTGAAGTTACCCTTTGTTTTACCTATATTATATACATACAAAAATATAATTCTTGTTTTTTTAACAAATGTCTGTTAATATACAATAACCATTTTACTAAGACAGGATCGAAATTATATGTAATTGACATATGCACACACACACACACATACACACGCACACACACACACACACACACACACACACACAATAAATTTTAATAATGCGATACCTCAAAGTGTCAGTGATTGTTTTTTGATTATTGTTTCTTAAAGTTAGTCATTACATTTGTTTAAAAAGTGAAACCAGAAAGAAATTTAAAAAAAGATTGATCAGTATATTATTGATTTTAAATTTTTAATGCAGAACAATGTAGAGTATATATCCAAACAATATAAAACATGTTATCTGGAATAAAATATGATATCTAGAATATTTAAGTTAGGTGATAACTTTATTTTCACTATTGCTTCATGAAAAAATAACTCCACTATCGAGGAGTATATGAGATTTGATAAGAAATCTAGTTTTAAGGAGAATATGAGATTTGATAAGAAATTTAGATTTGATCTGGAATAGGCTCTAATATTTTGTATTCTTCTGGTACTACCTTATTTGCGCATCTTCTATTTTTAGATAATTAAGAATTTATGTAAAAAACAATTAGATTTAGTTAGATGTATATACAGATTGCCTTTTTTATTATTATTTTTTTAGAGCTTGGCAATGAAGTTGCAGGCCAGTCTGAAGCTGCTGATAATAAACCCAAAGGTTAAAAATATATATGTTCATGATTTAATTACAGTTTTTATACATTTATTATTTTTTATACAATAATTTTTTATTAGCATTTAATTAAAAGTTCTCGACACATGGGTAGCCAATTCACTGTCTTCAATTAGACTGACTGTATTTTAAACATATATTTCATAACTTTATAGTTTTCATAACTTCATATTTATTAATGAACACCATGTTGCTATTTTTGTAGTTAATCTTGAACTAAATCTTGTGATCAAAAGATATTAAGTTTAATAAAATTAGTTTTGAATTTTGAAAAAAAAATCAAAATGTATCTTTCTTTTAAAATGATTTACTAACAACCCAACAGCATAGCTTTGTAAAAGGCGAATCTTGAATAAAAAGTTAAAAACTCTAGATTTTTTTTCCTTCTTGCAATAGCGCTGGTATATTAGTTAATGTAGTTTGCTGAAGCTTTTGTTTTTGTTTTGATGAACTTCCATCCAACTCCTTAAGCTTTTTTGACTATTCAGTTTTCGAATAAAAAAATATTTAAGTTCTTGAATAGTTTATCCAAACTAATATAACATTAACAAAAATGAAAAATAATAATAATTCAATAAATAAAGAGTTTAATAATTAAATTTGAATGATTCTATTATTCTTTTAAATATATTTTTTAAAAATAAAAATTAAATGAATGTTTCAAAATTTTAACTTTTTTTTTTGTAAGAATCTAATTGGCACTGCATGACAAAAATTTCTTTTGCTTTAGAAAGCCATCAAAATTTGTAAACTAAATTTCTTAAAAGTTGTTGTTGAAAAGACTTTTTAAATGATTCGTTTATACCTAATCCACCTCATTAAAATAAGACAACTTGTTACTGTCATATTTAATATAATTTATCGAACTTAAAACATACGAAAAAATTTGTTTATTGATAATTTTAACAGTTTTATACTAAAAAATAGAAACTGCTATATATATATATATATATATATATATATATATATATATATATATATATATATATATATATATAGCAGTTTTTCAACTTGTCTCTCTGCGCAGCGGCCTTGTTCGTCAAGGTTCGTGTTTTGGAGTTATAGAGTTGAGAGAAGGTTATAACCACTATTAAGTAGCCTCCTCGTCTATAGTGGCCTTCTCGGCCTTGAGGAGGTGAATAACAAATATATATATATATATATATATTGATCGCGAATTGCAATATCCGGAAATATGTGTGGTCATTAAATTCTTAGTTTTTTTAAAAACCGTAAACTCTGTTTTAATGAAACAGTCAGTTTATCGTATTGCAAAAATTAATGAAAAAGCAAAACAATAAATTTACTACTGCAAAAATAATATCAGTCAAAATTTACATATTATTAGTTATTGTTTTTGCAAACAATAATTAATAATATGTAATTTAAGGATTATAAATAAAAAAAATTGCAAGACAAAAATTATTATTACTAAAGGTCCGAAAAACTTTCGCGGTAATTTAAAAATCAATCAATGAAAAACTATGCTTAAGCTATTTGTGCATTGTATAAAATTTTGTATAAAAAAACAACCAATTAAAATGTATGCTAAAGCTACTTGCGCATTATATAAAACATTAAAATAGATTTTTATTTAAAGGGAAAGTTTATGGAATTATTTATTTAAAAATTTAAATGTTTTAAATTAGAATTTAATTATTTAATAAGAAAAAAAATTATAAAGTTTAATTTTTTTTAAATATGTTATTTGAGTTTCTTTTTTTTTGTTTTAAAGTAACTATTAAAGGGATCCCTAAGTGCTATAAAGATATGATCTCATATGAAAGAGCATTAAAAAAAAAAATGTTTGATGTATATTATTTTTTCTAAAACGTAATAATGAACACACACTAACAAATTTAATTTTCAAAAAAACGCTTTTCTTCGATTAAAAAAAATGCGTTTTGTCCAAAGTTTATTGACTCTAATGCCTCAAAAAAATAACGTTTGTACGTCAAAATAAACAAAGTAGACAAAATGTCATTATTGCAAACTTATTAGTTGGTAATTAAATTTAAAAGTAAAGTCGTTTTTTTTTCAACTAACACAATTACTTACAAGAATAAGTTTTGTAGCATTTTGTGAAAATATATTTGTATATTAAAATTTTTTTAATAATTTTAATTTATATATTTGTGTTATAAGGGCAATTCCACGGCCAAAAATGAATAGAAGTCAAACTCTTTTTAGTCAGTTTTTAACAAATGAATATTGATTTAGACACATGAAAGTTTATTTAAAATATTTCCTTAGTACAAAAATAAATTTATTTCAGTCATTTTTATGGTTTCAAAAGTGACGGTTACTCTCATTTTTGCTTGATAAAAAAAATAATTATTGTAAAATGTTTTACTTAAATTAACATTTATGTTAATTTTGCTATATTTTTTTGGTTCAAATTAATAAGGTTGAATAGACATTTTATTAGAAATTAAACTAAGACAGGGCTCGAATTAACGCAAAAAAAATCTAATCGCGAAAAAAATTTTTTTTTTTGCTCTCTCTCCCCCTCTCTCTCTCCCCCCCTCTCTCTCTCATAAGTCGCGCCGATGTGCGTGAATGGGGGGGGGGGGGAATTATCATCAATAAATCAAAAAACATCGTCAAAAACTATATAAAAAATTATATACCACGTTTTTTATAATTTATTGTTTCTTGAATAAAGGACTAATAAAAGTTTAAATATAATTAAGTTTTTCATTTAAATGGTTGATGTTTTTTTTAATTTTTCTATTTCAAGTTTTCCAATAAAAGATGAAACAAAAAAATTTGGTTAAATAAATTGAAATATACTTCACGTTTAAAATAAGGCTTGAAAACGTTAAAGTAAAAAAAATTGCTGGTTTTTATTAGCATTTTTATACTGTTTGAAAAAAAAAACTAATAAAAAAGAATTAACTAATAATATATTAATTAATAATTATTAGAATTAATAATAATAACAATTCTTTTTTATTAGTTTTTTTTTTCAAACAGTATAAAAATGCAAATAAAAGTCAGTTTTTTTTTGCTCTAACGTTTTTTAACCTTATTTTAAACATGAAGTTTTGATAAACAAAGATAAAAACCAACTTTTCAACTTTTCGCTTTAGCGACCTAGTAAAAATTTTCCACGCAGAGATTTAAAGTAATTTAAATTCAAAAATGTTTAACCTTGAAAGAAAATCTCCGCGCGAAAGAGCAAATCTATCTATTCAGAATAATAAATTTTGTGTGACGTTCTTTATGATAAAAACATTACTTTTAAGGATTGCTAAAAAAAATGCTAAGCTAGAAAAAAAGTAATTAAACAACCAAAAAAAAAATAAAATCGCGAAAAGATTTTTTTTAAGATAAAACTAATCACAAAAGTGTGAAAAGCAATCGCAATCGCGATACACTTAATACGAGCCCTGTAAGACTTTTTTATAAGTTCTAAACTATTAAAAACTATTACTTAATAACTTTTTTTTAACTACGTTTTTCAACCGAATGATATTATACTGTTTTTGCAAAACTAATTAAAAAAACTTGATTAAAACTTAACTAATTTAATCACGACTTTTTTTACTTGAAAATCGAAGTAGATATTTTAAAGTTGTTGTGACGTACTAACGTGATTTTTAACGACTAACAATCGAGTTTCAATGGTGAAAAAATAAAATCAAAATGGAGTTGTTTTTCAGTGATTTCGGCAATTGCTTTTTGTTAGCATGCATTTATTATTACAATTTAGTGAAAAAGAAAAAAAACTTACAAATTTTTTTTTTATGCTCTTTCATATGAGATCATATGTTAGGAGCACTTAGGGATCCCTTTAAAAAGTTTAAATTAGTTTTTATATATTAACTCCTCCGTCTTTTAATTTTATATTCGCATCAGCTAAACACGCGTTACAAGTTATAAATTTATAAAAAAGTATTGAATGAGATTTAAATAAGATATAAAAGTATTTTATATCTTATTTAACAATTTATTTTATTTAAAATATTCAATCACTGTTAAAGTCCTTTAGATTGTTGTGATTAGCGCTTGTTTTTTAATATTTATATCGTACTTTATCGTGCTTTATTTTTCTAGTATTATCTGATGTTTTATAAATTTAAATATTAAAGTTTAAATTATGATCTTTAATAATAATAAAAATAATGGGTATAATATGGTTTTACATTAGGATTTTATATCCTAATTGACGTAAATATTTCTTGATAATGATCTTAATTCATGATCACTTAATTCGAGCCCTGATATATATATATATATATATATATATATATATATATATATATATATATATATATATATATATATATATATATATATATATATATATATATATATATATATATATATTTAACATCTTCGCTTCCAACAAGGCTGCAAGCAACCACTAATTAGTGTTGGAAGTTACTGGAAGAGAAAAGATGAAGATTGTAGAGCAAGATAACGATTTTCAGACGACTTAAAAGATTGCAAATTATATGAATCAGGAAAGCAAGATGAAGGAAGCAAATTGCAAAGAACTGATGTTCGAAGAAAAAAACTAGACGAATAAGAGTTTTTCAAGGACTTAGAAACAGTAGCAGAAAAAGGATGAGACTTAATTGAATGAAGAGTAACACGAGAATGAATTTTTGTAGATGGCACAAGAGACGCTAGCTCTTTAGAGCAGTTCCCATAATAGTATTTGTAGAAAAGAGAAAGAGAAGCAACATTACGACGATGTGACAGAGGTTGAAGGTTGGCTGCAAGAGTAGGTCCAACTATGTTTACAATGCGTTTTTGCACCTCGTCTAAAAGAGAAAGGGCATCATTAGAAGATCCACCCCAGATATGGCAACAGTATTCCATACAAGGCCGGGTTTGAGATTTATAGAGATAGAGAATAAAAATAGAGATAGAGAGTAAGAAAGTGACGAGCTCGATAAAGAGAAGCGACTTTAGCAGATGTTAATTTTGGAACGGATTTGATATAAAGTTTCCAAGAAAGATCAGAATTAAGAGTTAATCCTAGAAGATAAAGGGTAGGAGACTCATCGAGTACATTACCGTTCATAAATATAGGAAGGTCTAAATTATTGCGATAACGATTGGCTGAAAAAAATTGAGTTTTATCTGAATTAAAGTTCACCAGCCACTGTGAGCCCCATGCTGTAGCAGAAGTGAGATCCTTTTCAAGCTCAGATGCCCCCTGCAAGCAATCAGAGGGAGTTGGCTTCTTATCGTGACAAGAATAAATGGTAGTATCATCAGCAAACAATGCCACCTTTCATGTGAGAAAATCTGGAAGATCGTTAATGTAAATTAAAAAGAGTATAAGGCCAAGGATTAAACCTTGAGGAACCCCTGAGGTTACAGAATAAGAAGAAGAGTGCTGTCCATCAAGGACAACTTTTATACTAAAATTGGAAAGGAAGGATTCAATAATCTTAAAGATGTTTCCAGATACATTGTAAGAAGAAAGCTTATGGAGAAGACCAGCATGCCAAACTTTATCAAACGCCTTAGAAATGTCAAGAGCGATGGCCTTAACCTCTCCACCTTTATCTAATGCGCGATAAAACCTATCGGTTATTACTGATAGCAAATCAGCCGTAGAATGAGAAGATCGAAATCCATATTGATGATCAGAAAGTAGGTTATGAGATTCGAGATGAGAGATTAAGTGTTTGTTAATTAAAGATTCAAAAACCTTGCTTATGATAGGAAGAAGACTAATGGGACGGTAGTTAGATGAATCGGATTGCTCTCCAGAATTTTTGAAAATAGGGATAACAGAAGCTGCTTTCTAGCTGGCTGGAAAACAAGACTCTGATAAGCACTTGTTAAATTGTTTTGAAAGGATAGACGACAGCTCCGAAGAACACTTCTGCAAGACTATAACAGGTATGTTGTTCGGGCCGCAAGCTGTAGAAGAGTCTAAGCAGGAAATCACTTTAGATACAGAGGCCGAAATAATACGAATGTCAAGCAATGGATCAACCTGTTTGACAGCTATATCAGGTAGAACGCAACTAGTGGAATCCAGAGATGATATTGATGAAAAGTTCTTGGCAAACAATTCAGCTTTGTCTTTAGGTGAAGTGACAAAGTCTGAACCGTACAAAAGAGGTGGAATTACAGACTTGCCCTTATTATTGATACTATTAAAGATTCTCCAGAAGTCACAAGAGCCTAATTTTTGTGATGAAATACAAGATTTCATGATCTGAGAATAGCGGGCTTTGGCGTTAGACAAAATCTTTTTACAATGGTTCTTAGCAATAATAAACAGACATCTGTTTTCTGAAGAATTGTTTTGCTGATAGATATGGAAGTAATGGTTTGATTGGCAATTGCAGCAGCACAATGTGAGGAAAACCATGGAGAAGAGTGAGGCTTGACCTGGAATCGTCAAAAGGCAATAAAGGATTCCATGCCAGCCTGAGTCCACGAAGTTATGTAAGAAGCACATTTGTCAACAGGAAGATGAAAGATTTCTACCCCGGGGCCATCACGAAGAAAATCACGGAAAGAGTCCCAGTCAGCTTTAAGGTAGTTGTAAGATGTACAATGATAGGGGATTCTGATGGCAAAGAAGAACGAGATAATAGTTTTAGAGAGACCAAACCATGATCAGAAGCACCTAACACTGACTAGGATTAGAAACAAGACATAAGTCGAGTAGAGAAGGTAAATGATTTGGGTTGTCTATAAAGCGAGTTGGAAAGTTGACTATTTGAGTTAGGGATTGAGAAAGGCAAAAGTTGTGGGCCTTAATGCCTGCGGAGTCACTAGAGCCAAGCCATTCAGTATGATGAACATTAAAGTCACCGACAACAACAATTTTGGCTGATGGATAAAGAATGAGGGCTTGGTCAATATAATCAGAAATAACATCAAGAAGAGTGCAGTCTTGAGATGAAGGAGAGCGATATAGAACAAAGAGAAAGGTGATGGAGTGAAGTGGTGCTAAACGAAAGCACATAAAAGAGTAGTCTGTGGATTCAAACCTAGTTTCCCGACAAATGGGTGAGTTCTTGCGAATGTAAATGCCTAGGCCAAGCATGTGACTATTGGAGTCTTTACAAATTAAAGGAAGATAACCATTAACACTAAGATTACAAGATAAGACAGCTGAACTCAAATTAGTCTCACAAAGAGCAAGTAGGTCTGGTGAACTTTGCAAGAGATAAGACTCAACAGAAGAAAAGTTATTTCGAAGACCACGAATATTGGTGAGTGATTGGTTTAGCGAACTTGGTGATGACTGTGGTTTTTTGTGTTTTATAATTTTTGTTACTTTATTTATTACCAGCCGTCCTCAGAACTGACTACCAGCCGTCCTCAGAACCATAAAACTGAGTTTTAGAGCTATACCCTCATATATTTATATATATATATGTATATATATATATATATATATATATATATATATATATATATATATTTATATATATATATATATATATATATATATATATATATTTATATATATATATATATATATATATATATATATATATATATATATATATTATATATATATATATATATATATATATATATATATATATATATATATATATATAGATATATATATATATAGATATATAGCATATGCAGGTTTTATCAAATAAGTTGACAGGGCTGTGTGTAGCTTATATTTTTAGTGCTTGAAAGTGAAAGTCAACCTGAAGCTGCTGATGTTAAACCCAAAGGTTAGTTTTTTGTAATTTTGTTAAAAAAAAATAAGAATTATGAAATTTTTTTGTAGATAGTCATTATCAACTTTACTAATAAACTACCATGATTTTAATTGTTTACTAATAAACTAGCGTGATATTAATTGTTTACTAATAATCAACCGTGATGTTAATTGTTTACTAATAAACTAGTGTGATGTCAATTGTTAATTGATATTTTGTTGTTGTTCTGTTGATTTGTTTGTATTAGGTAATAATTATAACAAATAGATAGATAAAAAAAATTTGTGTTATTTAGTTTAGGGCCCTGTGAATAGCTTCGATTCGATTCACGAATCAAGTGTTGGTTCATGATTCGATTCGAAAAAAAATGATTTGAGTTTTTTGAATCATTTATTTAATTTACTTTATGTTTTCATACCTATGGCGTTTTCAAAATATCAATACTTATTTTATAAGAAAATTCAGCGGTAGAGTAAATTTGGAATGTAAATGTACTTTTCAATAAAATCAATTATTGATTAGGGATTTAAACAGAGCAGGACGCAAATTAGTAACGTAATAGTTAACTTTTATTTTTTGCGTCGTTAATTTTTAACTTTGCTTTCACTAAAGTAATTTTAAATTTGACAGTTTTTGTTTGTGCTACATCAAGCTGTTTTTGCATCAAGCAATAAAATGACTTTAAAAAAATGGAGAGTATTCTAGCAATGCAAACAACAAAATTGCAACAAAAAGTATTCTGTTCAAAAAACTTTATCTAGAACTTGATCTCAAACGTGACCAGTAAAAACTATGCGTAGAAGCAACAAAAAAGTGCGCATCTGATACAAAAGAAAAAAGAATTCCCATTACATAATTGACCAATCATCAAGTTCCTCCTTAAATTCGTATTTTAGTCTACCTCAAATAGATACAGTTATTAAAAAAAACCATAGTGCAATGCTTAGATTTATAATTGAAGATGGAAGATTATTTGAGACAGCATCTGGATTTGGCTTCATTAATATATGCTCGGTGCTTTCTCACCGGTATGATATTAAGGGCAATATCATCCACCTCACCTGACCACTTTATCTTAAAATTTAGGTGATATAGTCGATGATTTACATATTCCAACAAAGTATAAAAAGCCAGTTTATCTCCAAACCTAGCATTACTTTTGATCTTAAAGTTTAGGTGATATAGTCGATGATTTATATATTATCTTCCAACAAAGTATAAAAAGCCAGTTTATCTCCAAACCTAGCATTACTTTTGATCACTTTAAAGCCGACAATCACAATAACTTTCTTGTTTCTGCTTGTCACTTTATTTTATCCTCTTAGATTTTAGATTCATGGTGTTTACCAGTTGTAAATCTGGATGTAATAAATGCTTGTCACAAAGCTACTTCCACTGAAAAAATTTTAAAAATTGTACTGTCAAAATTTGACTTGACTTCAGATAATTTTTTCCGAGCTACAATCAATACTGTTCCTAGTATGCCGTACACACTTAAACTTCTTGGGATTAATTGGGCAGGCTGTTGTGCTCATAAACTCCAACTTTGCGTGAAATCAGCTTTACACAACCAACCAATTTTTTGAGATTAATTAACTAGACTCATAAAATAGTAGGATTTTTTCACTCATCATCAGTTGGACAGGCAGCTCTCAAAATCAGATTTCTCAAGGAAAACCTGAGTCAAAACCTCCATTGAATGTGGAAACACTCTTTAACAACACTTCTAACTTATTGGAATGGATTAAAAAAAAATTGTGGTTCTAAAGAAATTGCTCTAGTTAAGTGTTCACAAAAATAAAAGCAAAAGTGCTACTGACTTGTCTGAAACACAAGTTATTAACAACAGTCACTCTTGTTTTAAATGCATTATCTAAGTGCGGGAAAAAGTGTAAGCATTAGTTTAGTTAATCTGTGCATTACAACTTTGAAAAATTTTCTTTGCTTAATGGGTAAAAGCAGTTTGAAAATGACGTTTTAATTTAAGTAAAGGTGTATTTCTTACCACTACTTTCTTAGACCCTCGATTTAAATCAGAAATATTTACTTGGCAGAGATACAAATTTTAAAATCTTATCTAATGACATTTGAAAAAAAAAACAATTTAAATATTGCTATGGTTCCCACTGAAATTCAACTCGAAGTAGCAAATTTGTCATCTGAAACAAATGGAGTTTAAGATAAAATGTTTAAACATATCACTTAAAATCGTACTCTACCAGAGAAAAGAACTTTAGATCAGCAATTAAATTTTGAAACTAGTGCATACATCAAAGAGAAAATGTTGGGACGTTCAGATTGTTCTATTCTCTACTGGAAAAACAATCATAACATTTTCCCTTAATTATACGTAGTTGCAACTGATTTTCTTGCTGTTCAAATTGTTCATCTGAAAGAGTAAACTCTGTGGAAGGAGGAGTGATGGACAGTAAACACAATAGTTTTTTTCCGAGCAAATTAATAATAATAATTTAAATTTTATAACATTTCGTATTGTATACATAAAATAAAGATGAAAAACATAAATTTCTTTCAACTAGTGATTCAATTTGTGATTTGATTTGCAAATCAAGACCTGCTTTGATTTGAGATTCCATTCAAAACAAAAATTGCTTAGCGCAAAAAGTGGTTAGCGCGCTTGCCTCAGAAGCTAGAGATCCATGGTTCAATGCCACTTCTGGGCAAGTTTAATTAAATTGGTAAGGAAGGAGGTGTGAACTTCCTTTCAAATGCTCATCTGCGGTGCTCTGTAAAAAGATCGTAAGGTCTTTTTGGGGTACCTAAAATGAAGAATAAAAAAAATCTTAAACAAAAAATTTCAAGCTGCATTAAAAAAAAAAAATTATGCTTCATTTGCCCTCTTTAGATTTAAATACTACTGAAACATTGATTATGAAAAGTAAAGACTTTACATATGACGATGTCCTTCTAAGATTAAAAAATTTGGAAGAAAACAAATCAAGTTGATTTATAATTTGCATTCAGCTATCTTAAAAGATGGTGAAGCCTGTGTGTCAGCCTTCACCATTCCACTTATGTATATTTTCAAAGAGTTGTCTGAAACTAAGAAACTTCCAGTGCAATTTAGGTTGACAAAAATCACTCTGTTCAAAAAAGGCAAAAAAACTTTAGCAGTAAACTACCAACTGGTATCACTCACTTCAAATAGATGTAAAATAAGGGAAGGCATAATTCAATGTAAACTTAAAACTTTTCTATTTAATTTCAAACTTATAGTCAATCAACAGCACAGTTTTGTTAAAGTAAGTAAATTATGCTAAACAAATATATTTAAATCACTTAATTTTAATTTAACCAGAAAACGTAAAAACCTGTTGATGTTTTTTTTTTTTTTTTGATTTTGCCAGGGGGTTTGACACAGTGTAACATAAATATTTGTTGCTTTAACTAACCTGCTATGGAACATCTGGTTTGTCATTCAATGAATTGAATTTTGAAAAGAAAGAAAACAAAGAGTTGTGATAGATGAAAATATATCCTCTTGGACAGAAATTACCAGTGGTGTGCCACAGGGGTCAACCTAAAAAGCAATTTAAAAAAAAACACTTTTATTTTATAATGTAAGTGGCTGGCTAAATGGTGAAGACTGGCCAACCAAATGCTGGTTTGGATTAGAAAATGTTCATTAAGATATTAAACTCCTGAGATTACTTAATGTTTGCAGTACCAGTATGGTCATCAATTCAAAAGGGTGAAATTAATTTATTAGAGTTCATCATGCAACTTAACTATGAGAATTGTCTAAAAGATCTTGACTGGAGGTAAAGATTGAATTTTTTAATTTTTTAACAGTTTCAACAATCAAAAAAATTTAAATATGTCAAAGAAATCACTAAGCAAGAATGTTGAGAAAACCTTTTATTTAACAGATCAGCCAATTTATGGATTAACTTACCAAGCAGTTTTAAAGCATCTCTTAATAACTGTCATAGTGTGTTTATACCATACCCACTGACTAACGCCAATTACAAATAATACTAATTACTAATTAAATATTTAAATAATTAAAATTACTAATAATAATATTTTTTTTATCGTTAGTTTACCAATATTTTAATGACTATTAATAACTATTTTAACTATTCTTAAGCCTATTAATAACTATTTTAATATTAATCTATTTTTAATATTAAAATTTTAAATGTTTATTTCTTTTATTTTATATATAAAATACAATTTTAAATATAATATCTTATGTTATAACAAAATTTTGTAATATTTGTTAAAAGGCATCAGTGTACCATTTTTATTTTACATCTCAGGCTCTGATCTAAAATCAACTAATAACTATTAAAATTTTTTTCTTTAAAGACATTGTGTAAAGAGATTTTTGATCACATAATATTTTTTTGTTCAATTCTATTAAAAAATTAAGAATTTTGTATTTCATTTAAAGCTTTAAAAATTTTCTTTTACATTATTATTTTTTTTTTTACAAGCTAAAACAATATAATTTCAGTAAATTTTCAAATAAAGTCAATTTATTTGTCTAAAGCATTCTTTATAATGCCTAAAACATTTTAAAAAACAGTAATAATAAGTAAATAGACAAAAAAAAATCAAACAAAAGAAATAAAAAAGAAACAATAAGTAGTTATATTTACAAACGCAAAGGAAAACATATTATTTTTTATATAATTTTTCAGTCTCCAATTTATTTGATTTTACAATTGATTGAATAGTTTTTTCAGACACTGCATTCCTTGAATTTCTTCTGACTGATTGGAATTGGGGCAGAGTATAAACACTCATGTGGCTTTGTTTGCAGAAGGTTGTATGTTTCTTTACGTTTAGGTCTCAAGGTTACAACCACAGTTTCAATGGTGTCGTTTCAAAAATCTCTGAAGCTGGTGTATTGCAGATTCAATATATACTTCTTGTAAAGCTCTCATTTTAAAGGGGCACGTTGTTTTGTAGTGTGGCTTCAGGAAATCTTTGAATGCCTTGAACATATTCTGGTCACAGAGGATCACTTTAAAGGGAGAAGGCTTGGCATGTGCATTCCTGAACACTTGAACCCACTGGCTGGGAAGATCCAGGTCTGTTGATTGCTTGATCAGAACCATGTCACAATCAAATTCAAAATACAAGTGACCACAGATCAGAAAATAGATTGAGATGTGGTCAAATTGTCTTTTTGTGTTTATCAACCAATGCAGAAATCTAAGTAGAGTATAATTCTTGTTTTGCCTGTATTCCCATCGCAAAACAAATTCAGTCTTGTCACTACTTTTCGGATTTATATACCTTAAGAAGATAAAGCATGAAGCAAACATCATCAGTGCCATTTTTGGCAACAGTCTTTTTGTAAAAGTAGAAGTATGCCTTATCTGTTGACAGCACATAAACATTAAACAAGACACATGTTTGTTGATGTTTATGATTAACATTATTTGAAGTTTTTTGGGAGTGCATTGATTTTCTAAAAGTCGAAAATTACTGCTTCTGTAGAATTATCTTTCCGGGCAAGATCATTTGCTTTGTGTTTTCTTTTATAGAAAATTGCAGCTTTTTTGATGTAGTTCTTGCTTCATTCTGCCACTTTCTTGTCTATTGTTTTCTGACTCTGTATGCAATATCTGCTGCTTCAGCTCATCACAGGCATTACGTGTATCTTTTCTTGGATATCTTCTTGGATAGCTAATATTAAACTTAGTGTTAAAGATATGTCTGTATCTTTTATAAGAAACTTCACATGCAGGACAAGATTGATGCATCTTTGCAACATTTAAGTTATCTAGCAAGTATTCTTTCCTTTTAGCACTTATAAAATAGTGTAACTTTCTGCCATGAAAGGGCCGCATATGGTTAATTACTGCTTGCAAGTCTTTTGGCTTTAGTTGATAAAATTGATTTGAATATCTTCCTCTCATGTTTACAAGTGGACATCTTGTGGTAAAAAAAGTAAATTAACAATATTTAAAGAGTTATTATTTGAAAAACCAACAGTTAAAGCAATTTTCATGGAGTTCTTTTCATGAATTCTTGTTTATTTGTTTTCTTTATTCATTGATATATTTTATTTTACTTTTATATCATCATTATCTTCATCATCACTGTCATGATATGACTCTAAATGAGTTAACTTGATCTTAAGCAATGTAAAAACAAACAAAAAAGTTGCATATCAAGTTATGATAGAGGGGAAGATAGAAAGGGCATTCCTCACCTGAACACTGGCACTTCAGGTGAAGAATCTTTATTCTACCCATCTTGAATATCAATTTGAAATAGTTTAGATGAAAATAAAAGTAAATAGATGTTTTTATTTTTTTAAATAAAAATGAAAACATTCTGAATGTTTTTTTTTGTTTAATTGTTTGCATACATCTGGCAAATATGTAGAAATTATTAGGAGTACTGCTACATTGACCGACAAATGACTTAAAAAATTCTTTCATTGAAAAATAAAGTAATTAAAAAGTTCTTTTGTTTTCTGATTAACTTTAAACAAAAGAGTTTTTATAACATTTATTATTTTTACATTAAAAAAGAATTACATTTTTAAAAAAAATTTTTAAAAGTTGTGTTAATTATTTTGTTGTTTATACACAATATGCAACTTGACCTTCGAAATCATGATATTTAGAAGTTTAAATTAATTACTAGCTACAGTATTTGCTGGAAAAAAGATTTTTTTGCCATTACAAAATTATTATACTAAGGTTTGAATTGCTGTTTCACTATAAATTGGCAATGAGTTAAGGAATTTCATTATCACAAAAAAGAAAAAAAGAACTAATAAGATGCTTTTTTAAAGATGAGTAGGAAAAGAAATTTTTTTTATCTCAATCTTCAAAACCTGTTTGTTTGAAGCTATTGTTTTGATGAAAAAATATAATCTGCAAAGAAATTTTGAAACATTGCACAATCAATTCAACTTTAAATATCCTAACAGAAATTCTTACAGATCTGCTCTCAGAACGAGTTTTGTCTCAACAAAATTTGTTCGTCAAAAAACAGCAAGATGTGAAAACAATTATAAAAGCTTCATTCCAAATTTCTCTTTTTCTTGCGCAAAAAATTTTTCAGATAAGGAAATTAATTTAAATTTTTGCTAAAAACACTCGAAAGACTCGAGCATAAAGAAATTTTTACAAAATATTGCCCTTTCCAGAAATATATATGAGAAGAGTTGAATAAATGACCTCTGACAAATCATTGTTGCCTCTTGCTTTCAATGTACTTTTTAATAGCTCTTGATGAAAGTTGTGATTTAACTGACCAATTATGAGTTTCCTTATTTATTTTTATTATCAAAATTAATTATTGTTATTATTATTATTAAGATGTGTTAATGATTTATTTAACAACGATGACCCAATTATTAAGATGTGTCAACAATAACTTTGATGTTGTCCAAGAACTTCTAGGCGTCTATCAGCTTCAAACCTCAAAAACTGGAGCTCATATTTTTGAAGCATTAAAAACATGTATTGAAAATCAAAACAGTAATGGTCACGATCTGAACTGGGATAAACTGGATAGTTTTTGCACTGGTGACCCACCTGCTATGGTTCGAAAGCACAGTGGTGGTGTTTCATACCATTACATTATTTACTAAGAAGTGCTGTGCTCAAGAGATATGGAATTTGGTCATGTCATTAAAACTGCTGTTTCGTTCAATTTTTAAAAATAAAACAAATAAACACAGAGAACACTTTTTACATTCTGTTTAGTAGTTATCAAAAGGTAAAATGTTGACCAGATTTTTTGAATTAAAAAATAAAGTGTTGCAATTTTTGGAAGCAAAAAACAAATTGCCATTAGAATCTGACTTTCTTAAAAACAGACTGGTTATGTGATCTTGCATTTTTAGTGGATATAACAAATAATCTAAATAACTCGAACACAAACTTGCATGGTAAAAACATTTTATTTCCAACATTTAATCAAATTAATGCTTTTAAGGCCAAGTTAAAATTATTTACAGTTTATCACAGAAAAACTTACATCTATTTCCAAAACGTAAAAATTATTACACTAAAAGTATGATTACCAGTGTTGCATTACAAAAGTACAAAGCTGCCGTTTTGAAACTTTTACATTCATTTGAAACTTGGTTTTCAGGTTTTAAAGCTAAAACTAAGAATATTATGCTCTTGATCAACCCATTCACTATATTAGATGATGATATTTTCAATTATACACTAAAACTGCAGTTGGAAATGTCAGACATTCAAAATCACACAGGATTAAAAAGCAAATTTCAAAACTGTGTTTATCACCAATTGCTTCAGATCTAAAATCATTCTAGAAATTTGTTCCAAAATATGACTTTACTAAAGTCAATGATACGACACTCAGATCTGTCTGTAAATTTGGCTCAACTTACATTTTTGAAAAAACATTTTCTTTAATGAATTACATAAAAAGCAAACATTAGTCAACTCTGACTTACAGCCATCTTGATAATCTGATCAAGAAAACTACCTCAAGAAACAATCCAAACATTGAAAAACTAGTTTCAGATGGTCAAGTTCACCACTCTTAATAATTATATTACTTTGATACAAATGATTATAATAGTTATTAGTCACCTATATTTTTGAAGAAATAAATATTTTTTGCCTGAAACTTTTGATTTGGGCACGCAATCTGAAATTTGATTAATCTGTCATTTGAAAACTTTTTGAAAAGTTTCTAAACATTTTCCAGTCTTACAATTTTTTTTTTTTTTTTAAATAAAGTTTACATTTTATGGTTAAAATGTTTATCAA